CATTTAGTATTACTTGTATATATGTTTTTAGGACTGACCATTTGGTATTGGATAATCATTTAGGGATGTCATCCTCAAGGAAGACTAATTCTCTCTCTCTAAGCAGTTGTTGATTGCCTGCAGCTAACTTAGTGGTGGGGCCTTGTGAGATCTCCTCCATTCATGTTGGGATGTCAGCTGGTGTTGCCATTCATTGTTCAGGTCTTGTTTAAACAGCCATTATTATTGAGCCATGGGCTTCTCTGTCATACATCGCACAGCAGATTTCCTGGTCCTCTGGCTCTTACAGTCTTTCTGCTCCCCTTCTTTGATATTCCCTGAGCCTTAGGAGTAGGGGCTGTGTTGCAGACATATCCACTGGAGCTGGGCACCCCATGGTCAGCTGTTCTCTAAACACCATTCAAGAGTATATGCCATACATGTTCTAGAATTTGTAGGGTATCATAGTGCATGCTTTTACTGATAACACACAAGTGGCAGAAGCAGGCAATCTCTGAGAGTCAAGGCCAGCCAATGATGCATAGTGAGTCCCTATCTCAAAACCAACCAACCAAAAAAACCCAAGCATTATCTCAGAACTCCTAAACTACCAGAGTTTCATGAGATTTTATAGATATATATGTGTGTGTGTATAATTATATATATACACATAACTACAATAGCATATACATATACATACAACATACACACATACATACATACATATATATTCTAATGAAACATATATATATATTCTAATGAAACCCTCTAAGTTACTGGGCCTCGGTGATGGTGTCACAAGCCCATAACCCCAGCACTCAGGAGGCAGAGGTAGGTGGATCTCTGAGTTTGAGACTAGCCTGAGTTTGAGGCTAGCCTGGTCTACAGAGCTAGTTCCAGAATAGCTAGGACTGTTAGATAGAGGAACCCTGTCCACTCAAAAACATAAATAAATAAATAAATCTAAGTTACTAGAGTACAAAAAAATAATCATTGCTATTATGACTAGAAGATATGCTGGCATTTTCTTACTAAATCAGGCATTCTCCAGTGGGGAGGAAGGGGACAGACAACAGACAATATGATAACTGCATACTCCCACCACACACATCTTAACATCCTGAAAATACCACAGTGGTGCCTTGCTTTGTGAAGCATT